AAGAGAAGAGAAGAGAAGAGAAGAGAAGAGAAGAGAAGAGAAGAGAAGAGAAGAGAAGAGAAGAGAAGAGAGAATGGAATGGAATGGAATGGAATAGAATAGAATAGAATAGAATAGAATAGAATAGAATAGAATTCTTAATTGGCCAAGTGTGGTTGGAAACATTTGTCAAGAGTCAAGAATCATCAGGCACAACATTTAATAATAGCCATAGGGTACAATAAGCAATCAAATCTTACTAGGAAACGGTCAATATAAATCGTTAGGATACCAGCGACAAAGTTACAGTCATACAATCATAAGTGGGAGGGGATGGGTGATGAGTGATGAGAAGATTAATAGTAATAATAATGCAGACTTTGTAAATAGTTGAACAGTGTTGAGGGAATTATTTGTTTAACAGAGTGATGGTGTTTGGGGAAAAATCTATCCTTGTGTCTAGTTGTTCTGGTGTGCAGGGCTCGATAGTGTTGTTTTGAGGGAAGGAGTTGAAACAGTTTATGTCTGGGATGTGAGGGATCTGTAAGTATTTTCACAGCCCTCTTTTTGACTCGTGCAGGATACAGGTCCTCGATGGAAGGCAGGCTGGTAGCAATTGTTTTTTTCTGCAGTCCTAATTCCTCTCTGAAGTCTTTGTCCTGTTGGGTTGCAGAACCAAACCAGATAGTTATAGAGGTGCAGATGATAGACTCAATAATTTCTCTGTAGAACTGTATCTGTTAGGTATCTGTTACAAAGGCCTCTAGATTTGTGTCAGGAAGTACGGATCCTTGTTCATGTGTGTGATTTTGTGATCTTGATTGCTTCCAAACCAAGGTCACGTCTATTCAAAGTGCATCAAGATGAATCCCATTGCTCACTGTCATTCAACAGCTGGATTTTTTGTGTGTCTGTTAAGAAACAGGGATTAAAAACAGGATTAAAGAAACTTTATTCTCTTATATAGGAATGATCCCCAAACACCTCATTTTCTCCCACTTGAACTCTCTTTAAAAAGCATCAGGTACTTGTGATGATGGTGCAAATTATTTTAGTTCTCTTGTGAGACCTAATGGAAGTTCATGCTAAGATGTGAAACCACCAGCACAAAAGCCATTCCCAAATTCCGCCCCTTTCTAGTGATTTCACGAAAGAGCATCTCCTATAGAAAAAGAAGTTTTTGTCTCTAAACCGTAACTGATTGGAAAGAGGCACACGCATTTCAAAGGATTTTTTGTATGACATCCAAAAAACTATTTCTCCAACAGTAATGAAGTAGACATGATCATTAGAGCAATTTCCATATTAAAAAAACTGCTGCGGGCGAGCAGACAGGCGATGGGAAAACCCCACTGATAAATAAATATTAAATTATATTGTTGCTATTTGTACGGAGGGATGGGTATGTTCGCTCTGTTCTTGATGTAGTTTGACTGGGAATGTGCTGGATCCAACTATAACCTGGAAATTACCAGTGGTAATTTTCCAACAAAACCCCATCTATTTTGCATAGTCAATGTCTGTCCTCATTTTCAACAATAAATGTAAAACATCCCTAAGTAGGAATAACAGCATTTTGCATATTTTTCCCCTCATTATACTTTTCTGTCAGTCTGCTTCTCCTTTCTACCTGACATTACAAATTCCTTAGGAATTTGTTTTGCTTTTAAACATTCAGGTAACAATCAGTAAGGTAAAACATCTAACTCAATATTACAGCAATATTTTTATTATGTAGTAGAACCTTCTGCTCCTAGGTAAAGAACTCAGTTTGAACTTCTATTTGTTTTTTATTTTCTCTAATACAGCAGAATGTTGGAAATAAATCACATAAATAGGTTCAGGAAGCTGCTTGCATGTCAGCTTTTAAAAAGGATGAATAAAATGCATAAACATAATGATGTAGCCCCCCCTCAAAATACCCTATTGCCTCCTTATAGGAGAGCAGTTGAATAGTAACTCAGAAAATGGAGAGAATAGTACAGTTCAAAGATAAGGAGATGAATATAGAAGAACCCCAACAAACGGGGGGGGGGGGATAAAAAAATAAGTACAAATTGGGAAAATGGTAATATATATATTGATACCTAAAAGAATATATTAAATTATAATAAGCATATCAAGGTTAGAAGTTGGAAGAAAAAAACCTATGTATATGTAATTATATTATTATTGTTAGCATTGTGTAAAAATATATATTGATTCAGTCATTACACCATCCACAAAATATGTTGGTTGTTAAAGAAAAACTACAAATAAAACATAAACAAATCAGAATGTGGCCATCTGCTCCATCCTAAACCAACTCTTTGGGATATCCAATAAATTTGAAATACGTTTTATGAATCAATTTCAATCTTAAATCCAATGAGACCAATTTAATCTTCTTTTAAGACTTGCAACCATTGATGTTTCGTTATCTGATATTTCAGCTCTTTCTTCTATACATCCTAAATGTCAGTGTTTTCGGCGTTAAAATTTACTTTATTTTTGATACAAATATGGACTTCATTAAAAAAGTGGTTTCTTTGACACAGCGAAAACATTTAGTCCATATTGAACTGTTTAAGACATACTTGCCACCTGTTTTTAAGGCAGAATTCTTCCATAAAGATAAACATTAGGGAACCTTGGTATCAAAATCCAATCTACAACCCAAAAGGTCCAAATGTGGCTCTTTTCAATCCCAAAAATGACAAAAAAAATCCTTTTTATTATACATTAACCCATGTAATTGCCAAGATCTTTGTGGAAATAAGTAATAACTTTCAAATAAGGCCCACAAATATTGATAGCGTACAAAATTTTCATTTCACATAAGTGTAGCCAATAAGATGGAAGTCCAGTGATACTTTTGAAAACTCTGTCAAGAAAAATTAAAACCATTACCAAACATCAAGAGATAATCTCAATTTAGCCATAGATATGCAATACATTACAGAGTAAAATGCAAATACTACGCTCCCTATGGCTACTACTAATAAAAGGACTATAAAGAACTTAAGAGTCACGGTCTGTATATTTGTCCTAACTTGCTTGAATAGAGTATACCATCTAAATTTATATCTTGCTTTGATAATGTAAAAACAGCCTAGCAAGGAACTTGTGTCTTTTGCCTAACCATGGAGATTAGCGTGAGTAAAATGAGTAAATTTTGTATTAACAGAAATGGTTGAAGCAGTCCTTAAGTGAGTCTTAAGTGCAGTTCGGCTCAAAATCGGATTTGAAGGGCTGCAGCCTTCTTCCCTTGCATTTCATCAAGACCTTATTCCATCAAGACTGAAACTAAATGTAGAGTCAAAGCTTAAACATCAGATTATTTTTTCTGCCCTCCCCACACCCCCATATTCTAAAGTATTTTCCATCTTGTCCACGAAAAAAAGGATCTTTGAAAGCCTGCGTTGTATTTTATGAACCTGTTTTGGCTATGCAAAACAGATTTGCTAGTGGCATTTTATAAAGTAGCAGCAATAGATTCTGAGCTTGTTTAAACAAGCACTGGATTTTAACACATATGTCCCTTCTTAAGGTAGCATAACAAAATTCGGTAAGATTTTACTCTGTTGTTTTTTTAAATTCAGTATTAGAAGGTCCTGCATTAGCTTTCAAAAAACACTATCGCATATGTACCACTGACCTCCTTATAAAAATGAGACCCCAATAAACTGAGAACCACGATATGTACTATGTGTTCTCCCAAAGATGGCAGGGAGAATAGCTTTGAAATGTCATGTGCAGAATAGTGTGGATAAGCTCTGGGTGACCCATTCCCGGTTCCATTATTTCCAGAGAAGGAGGATAATAACAGAAAATGTTGGCATCAGACCAGCAAATCAGAAGAATCATTTCACATTCAAGCTGGACAGCTGATAGTAATTTATTCTTTATCTTATTGGGGAGGGAGCATTAATATGCAATAAGTAACATTTTCCATCACAGAAAAAGCAAAGTGTTTCCTATTCTTACCTCACTGTAGTCTTCCACATCCAATTCTACTTCCCAAAGACTGTTTCTCCTAAGTTCACACACTTACAGTTTTGAAAAACAGAAAGGTGGCTTCTGCATTAAAGAAAGATCCAATCTGGAATTAAGGAAGAATTTCCTGAGAGTGAGAACAATTAATCATTGGAACAGCTTGTCTCCCAGAGTTGTGGGTGCTCAAACATTGGAGGTTTTCAAGAAAGGATCGGAAAACCATTTCTCCTAGATAGTATAAGGTCTCTGCCCTAAGCGAGGCCTTGGACTAGAAGAACTCCAATCCTGTTATTCTATAAAGTAGACATGTGTTATACTGGATGCCCTCAAAAAATGTCCAGGCAATAGTGAGTCTATCAATGTGTTACTTGATGCCCAATACTTAATGATGCTTATCTGTTTAAGTTTCTTTTTTATTACTAAAAACACATGGAAAACGAACATACTGCAACGTGAGATAGCATAACCTCAGTTTTCAGCAATATCGCTGGGTGTCATGAGTCCCAGATATATCCTTAGAAAATATGATGTGAATTGGCTATAGCCTTCTGCTTTGTTTTCTGTACGATGGGCCATATCTATCATTTCATTGTGTTGTAGGAATGCTGAAAATATGTTCTTCACATTAACGTCAGAGAGTTAACATCATTGCCCAGAGGATCATTGGCTGCCCTCTCCCCTCTTTGGAAGAGCTTTAAAGCTCCCGCTGCCTTAAGAAAGTTCAAAACATCCTTAAAGATCTATCTCATCCTGGGCACCCTTTTTTTTTGAGCTATTACCATCTGGCAGATAGTACAGGACAATAAAAACAAGGACAAATATTGAATTCTACTGTATAGTGCAATATTAATGCAATATCAGGGGTTTTCAGTTCAGTGGAATAGAATGAAAAGGATGTGTGTTTATGTTTTATTTTTATAGTTACAATGTACACTGAAAATGGCATTTAACTTTGTTGTATGAGGTACAACGACAATAAAGTCAACTGAACTAAACTAAATTAATTAGAATGCCAATTTCACCGGCCCTGGGTCTTGGTGCTAACTGCAAGACTTTTATATCAGCTGGTGGGTTTGCCGGATTGGGCAATTATAAGAAAACTATGTTTTTTGCTCATAAAATGCTGAAGTGAAAAAAGTAAAGCAGGAAGTGAACTTGTGATCGTTACATTCAAGAAGAAAGAGTAGCACCTCCCATTCACCCCCTACCCCTTTTGATCAGGCTGCGAAGAACGTTATCTCTTCAATTTCTTTACATCATCTTGTCTTCTTGAATCCAATCTGAAATGCCCTTTGAGCTAAGATTGGGGTTTTAAACCATTAAGGAGCATCTGCATACATAATAGCTCTGCTTGATATTTGATTTTTTTTTTTCACAACACAGAGGGAGGGGAAGCCATCAACCCACTAGCGAGGCACGAAAGATTGACAGCAAGTAATACCCTGATTTCATTTACATCTGAGCTCTTCAGAAATTAAGTGTAGTTTCCTCTTGCTGGTTCTTATGGCAACCTATGCAATTGATAGAGCATATGGAAGCTAAATTAGCTAGAAATGTTGAGATGATTGAAGTTGGAACTTGACGGGGAGGTCTGGATTCCTGCTTTGTAAACTAACATCTTGTCAGGCAGGAATGTATGTTTTAAGCCCTTGTCATGGTCAAAGGCATGCTATCCGAAGGAAGCTATTATATAGTTTGCCAGTTCTGCAAAAACAGAAAATAGTGCTTTGATGAACCCTACAGCAATCAGTTGCTGTCCTAAACCCAAACATTATGGTAGTATTGTGACTTTATCTTCTGTTAGTTAGAGGCTTAGGACTTCCAGTTTCCAATCTCCACCCAGCCATGGATCTTACCAAGTTTAGGCCAATCATTCTCTCTTGGTTTACTCTACTCTACGGGGAAGTTATGAGAAAGGGCCTGGGGGGGAAAGTGTGATAAAAATATAAATTAAAAATAAATTCTTTTTTTTAAAAAAAAGCTTTTAAAAAATATTCAAAATATCTTTTCCCATTCTTTCAAGAGAATTTGTTAGCTTACTGAAGGATACTAACCTGATTATTTTTATTCTAATCTAAATTGTTGGTAGAGATACAATTAGAATTGAAGCTTCTTGAATGAGAAGTGAAATCAATTAATTTAATGTTTAAGTATATCAACAGCTTTGTAGCTTCATATTTCCATAGCCAAAGTTTGAGTACCTTATGAACTTAGCAGTTTAGCTTTTCAGTTTTATTTCTGTAGTATTCTAGTATTTGCATTTATATCCTATTTTAATTTTATCTCTCTTAATTTGCACAATCTATTTAGAATGTTTCCTTTTATCTTGTTGTGAGTGTTTAAATGTTATGAACTTATAAGAGTTGTTAATAAAAAATACAAATAACATACTTGGCTGTGTTTGTAGGCTAAAATTTAACTAGTAGAGGGGGCGTGCATAAGTACACTAACATGCCTATCGTCCCTGTCGTAGTATTTTTATTTTCTTATTCTTGTTTTTGTTTGACAAATTCCAATAAATAAATAACTAGTTTGTATTATATGGATCCCCAGAGAGTATATAACTCATTGTATTAAATGAATCCACCCAGCATGGTTAATTTAATAAACTATGATTTCTTTAACTATATCTCAACGTAGTATACAAAAAAAGCCACTCTCTTGATGCAGTCAGAGGATATGTGGGCTTTACTTGGTCTGCCCATGTAATATTACAACTTGTGAGTTGTACTGGCTTATAGGTTTTAGATTGCAATTCATGACAATCTGTCACCTATAAAAGCCACAACAGCTCAGCTGGGTTAGTTGTGGGACTACCTATTTCCAATTATTATCTGCCTACACTACAAGATCTGATAGGCTGACACTCCAGGACCTCTCTGTGTAAGAATGCCATCAATGGGATCCAGAAAATATGCCTTTATTGTCCTGGTGCCTGCTCCTACCTCCCAAGATTCTGGTGACTCAATCCAGTCAGTCTTCCTTAAGCTTTTAAAACTTGGGTTTTCCCTTGTAAACTGGATTAGGCCATTGAGAATCCTTTTAAAAAATAATCCGCTAATTATTTAGAATCTATCATGTTTTTAAACCTCATTTTATTATTATTTAGCCTGTTTTATATTGTGTTGTTTTGCATTTATTATTTATCTTGTTTTGGTTTTAATCCTACATTAGCCACACAGAATCACATACTGTGAGTTATTTCATTTAAATAAATATTTGTGAGCACGATAATGAGAGGCAGACAAACTGGAACGAGTCTAAAATTAGGCAGTGCTTTGGGGCTTGGGTGTCATCCATCTGGAAGACAGGTTAGGAGAGGTAACAAGAGGTGGATTTGGAAAGAGAAGGAACTTAATCTTAAACTTGAGTGGTTAGGAAAACCAGGTGATGTTAAAGGGAGGGATTTTTTTTTTCCCAACAGAGAAAAGACAAGCACATTCTTGCAACTTGATGGAAAGCAGCCAGATAGAGAGAAGGGGTGGCAACACGCTCAGAGATTGTACATACATACACACCAGGTGCTCCAAGATTGAAATCTATACCATCAGTCCTCATTTGCTTCTATGATTATATTCCTTACTAAGAATGTTTAATAATGCACCTCTAAATAGGGATCACGGTTGAAAGAAGACAAAGAATTCTAGTCCCATGTCTGGCGTGGTGCATAAATGCAAACAAACTAAAAATTATAGAGCTGCAAAAAAAATAAAATAAATCCCTCTGAGAAGTAGGGGAAAAAAGTCTCAGGAAAACTATAAGTAAGATAGAACCGGTTTAGATGAATTCAATAAATGAGATGGTTATTTTATTAAGAAAGAACAATAGGCTCATGCCTTTTACAAAGTGGCTGTGTCTCAATCTTAGATAAATGTATTTTGGGGTGGGGGGGCTAGATACATACAGAAGCAGAATTTTTATTTTACTTTTATTTCTGGTATCCAGACTACCTCCGACCCACACCACCCCCTGGAAGTGGTTACCACCGCTACCAGTTTCTCCTCTACGAACAGCCAGCTCACGAGGACGTCTCCTTGAATTCAGATGAAACCACGTCTTCCGGTGAGAAACTCCTTTGCCTCTTTGGCAGTTCCAACGTGTGGCGGTTGTTATGGGAGAGAATTGGTGCCTTCTTCCTGGAGGATTCTTTTGACTCTGGTTTCAGCACGGTTAGAATTCCCTGTAGGTAGCTCTGTTTGTGGAAATGATGAAAATACCCCAGCAGGGGGCACGGCTTTGCTTGAAGCAGGATGCATATTTACTTGACAGTGTGGGAAATATTTTGTTGCTGCTGCTATTACCAAAGTAAATTCTCGTGTCAACTCTGTAGAGGCGACCAAGCAATCATATAGCTGGATAAGCCTCAGAAGCAAAAACTGCCCAGGTGCTTTGTTTGGAATATTTAAAGTAGACTGATCCCCAGATAAGGTGAACCTGTGCAGGTGATGATGCTTTTAAAGGGAGAATGGTGTTTACAGCTGGGCAGTGCTTTGATGGCCAAGGGTTATGTGCTTTCGTTGTTACCGCGGTTGTTCTTTGAGGGACACAGTCGAAAAGAACAGGATACCGTGATGGCATGAAATGATGACTAAGGAAGGCCTGTATTTCTGTGGATGGCGTGCGCAGAAGGTTCAGAGATGCTAAGCTTCTCGGGCGAGCTAAGCCTAATTAAAGACTTATCCGGTATTTTGTTAATTTTATTAATATGGTGGGGAAAAGTCAGGAAATAACATTGCCAAGGCTCAAAAGTTTGTTGCTATACTTCAGCGGTAAAGTGTATTGCAGGCTTGGGGACCTCAAAGAAAAAGCATCCAAAATGCGTAGGGCGGCTGGCCAATTCTGTGAGTTGAAGTCCACGTACATTAGTTGCCAAGTTTGAGGAAACACCACCCTAAAAAGCAGGCACGCTGGCACACCCATGCTTATGTTTTAATGTTGGAGTAAAAGAGGAAGGTAATTAGAAAAAACAAGTGGACCTGAAGGATACGGATTTCCGGGAAAGGAAGGAGGAAAGGCATCGGGAGGATTGGTGGATGGTTGGGTTGAGGGGCAGAGTTGAGGCTGGGAAGATCAAGGAATTGGGCAGGACCAGAAGGTAGAAGTTGAAAAGAGGAAGCGGGAGGAAATCTTCTGAAATTATCAGGCTAGCAGACATGTGCTGGATTCCTTTCCTCCACCCTAGCCACTGCCCCAGTCAAGACCAGATTATAGAACTGGGAGGAAACAAAAGGTTCTTAAAGATGGCACCAGAATTAACAATGATAAATTCAAGCAGACACGCTAAGCAGAATGTATACCGCATGCTTAGCAATACAAAATCAAGTTTTCCAGCCTTTGCTGATTCTGCTGTGTTTAGAATCAGCCTACCTGTGATTATTTGATTAAGTTTCCGTGCTGTAGTAAGCCCTGGTTTCTTCCAGCCACATTTTTTTTAAACAGTCACATTGACTGCATTCAAACTTCATATTAAACCAATCAAAACATCCCCTTTTCCAATTATGGTTTAGTATGACCTGGAACCTGAACCTTTGAGCATGAGTAGAGTCAATCACTGGGTTGTGTTGTGTAGGAGAAAAGTATTAATAATCCAGCTGCGTGGCAAACCTATTTAGGGTACATCTATACTTTCCATCGCATGTCAATTGAGAATGAGTGGAAAAGAAACAGCCAAGCTGAAAGACAGACTATGGTGGCAGAGGTAAAGGTACACATACTGTGAAACTGAGAATTGTCTTTGCTTTAGGAGTTTCATTGGTGACACCTCAGAGCTATCATGCATGTCAAGCAATGAGATAAAAATCACGAATAATAAGATTTGGCAATGGAGTTGCACAAGCACTCTTCAAGCAATGTTAATAAAATAACAGCTCTGCTGAGCCAGGCACGTTCTTAGCATGGAGGGACAACCAGTCTCCCAGGGGAAAATGCTGCTTTAAGAATTATTTGCACAAGTGGAATTTCAGGACAGAGATGAGTAGAGAGAGATCCAGGAATAAGAATGCCTCGCCCATGGTGACATGACACTTCACAAGAAGCACCAAGCACATATGAAATCAGTTTATGGAGTCAGGTGCATAACATCCTGCTGGATAAGAAGCATAATTCACATTATGGTTGTTTACAAAAAAAAACCCCAAGCAAGTTCTTTGAAAGCAGTGGGAGAACAGTGAAATTTCACAAATGAGTTTGTCCTTTGCCTCTTTGTAAGTCAATGCTATATAATATAGCTGAGAAGTCTTCCAAATGATGATGATGATACCATGCAAATTGGATTAGATTATGATGAGAGCAGGTTTCTAGGATCTGCTGGGGGTAGATAGAATACAATCAGAATGCATAGCTATGGGGTGTGTGGAAGACGTATCTTCAAAGAGGTCATTAAGTTTGGGTCTCAATAAGCAACCCATTCCACTGACTACTCTGGTAGCACATCCTGTAGTGTAAAACAGGAGGAGAGAGTTGCTTCATTGTTCTTAATATATGCATTCATAAACAGATGAACATGAAAGAGAAGGATTATTGCCCTTTGAAAACCTGTCTTTGGTCCCAGGCCTGGAGTTGGTATATTTACTATTTGTCTAGGGCCCCTGTTACGTTCTACTTGCTTTATAAGAACATTTTATAATGTTACTTTAGTACGGGATGACTGATTTGATGCTTTTATCTGTTTTTATGTTTTTGCTAGTTTTGCATGCTGCCCAGTGTCCATTGCAGTTGAACAGCTAAATTCAGAGAAGGATAGACAGATTGAGAAACAAGTAGATATATGTGCTGGGCTACGCAAACAAAAATGATGCCAAACGTCAAAGCGAAATATTAAGCTATGGATAGAAAATTTGCAAAATGGTGCATGGATAGAGAAAGGAGGGAATCCACCCTTTATCAGGTACATCAGAGGAAATATCCAACAGGTTTCCGTGGGACTCACACAACTACATTCCACACAACATATCGGTTATCGCACCAGTAGGTGTGCTATCTGAGGAAAGGATTGTTGTGTTTTCCAAGTATGAATTCATATGCTTTGTTGCAAGATTGTTGTTGTGTTTAGTTTGCGGAGAAAAGTTAACACTGTATTAACTGTCGAAACACAAAGTGTGTGGTAAATGAGAAGAATGTGTGCAAGAAGTGTGTAACAAGTATATAACAAGAGAGGGAAAAATAAGTTTCCTCTTCTGGCAATTGGACAGAATTCATTATTTCTCATCTTGACCGGTAGCAACCTTGGATTGTGATTTCCTGATTATTATTCTCAGATGCTTCAATTTTATTAAAATAGGTAGCTGTTGGAAATTTGTTTACTTATACATGTGAAGCTATGTATTTATATAATACAGCTGCAAATTTATATAGTAATATTTTAACCCATGCAATTACAAGCATTTCTGGGTAGATTCCATAATTAAAATTCCAAAATTAATGTGTTAAAATCTCCAATGCTTAGACAAAAAGGAAATCCTTAGGCCAAGACTGAAAAGATCAGTACTGTACGTAGGTACAGTACCAGTCAGTTGCATACAGAAAAGGGCTCGATTAAAAGAAAAGATAATGTATTTTAAATAAGCAGTATTTTAGTACTATTCTTGCCTCACTCCCTGGTTCAAAATCACTGATGTAAATCTTTAAAATATTGTTAACATGGTTTGTACAGAATTTAAGATTTTTAAAAAAAACTTGAATGAGCCCATGTTCTTTTACAAACTGAAGTGATTCTTGCTTAACCAATTTTGTCTTCAAATTATCACAAGGTCAAAACCAATTACTAGTGGATTCCATGTAGATCCATCAGAGGATGTCCTACCGATTTGGGAGAGTTATTATGAAACAAGTGTGGGGTCAACAGATTTAGTTGAAGTTGAGATCCCAGTGTGCCTTTTTCCTTAGGGAAGCCATGGAATGAGTCCCAATAGCACCCCCAATCAGGAAAGGAATGTTCTAGACAAATGATTCTATAGAAGGTAAGGGGTGCAACTTCTCTGGTGATTCTTTCAGTGGGTAAATCTTTAGGAAAATATGGCAGTTGAAGTAAAGGGAGGAAGAGGAAGAGGGGACTCTCTGCTTTTCAGTGTTCAGATATACCGGCTAAACAAGCTGGATTAAGCTTTTGCATCAGAGATCTCATATTTTTAACTTAGTTCTATTTGTGTGTTTCCCCCCCCCCCCCAGAAAAAAAAATCCAGAACCCTGGTCCCTTTGGAAAGCTACAGTAGTAGAAAATTGGGTGTGTTTGAGTGTTGTTGTTTGACTTTTGTTCTTAGTCTCTCACAGTAGCTGATCAAGTTCTCTGGAATCCTGGAATTATGCAGAACATACCTTGAAAAGTACAGGTGTAAACAATTTGGGCTATCTTGATCAATCACCTATTTCAATATCTGATGAAATGAGCCATAATTAATATGCAAAATACCATAAAAATATTTGGGTTTTTTTCTGGAAGAAAAAAAAAGAACTCTAACTTGGCTGCCATTCTCGAAAGTTTAATTAAAAACAAATTCAGGGAAACAAATTTTACCCGATTCAGACATTTCCTGCAAATATGACATTAACAACTGAAACAGAAGCCTATTTTCAAAGGAAAGTTTAATGAGCCTGATTAAAATACTGTGAGAACAGAATTAAATATTGCATTGGGATCAAATCCCTGAACAAGCTACCACCTTGCTCTTACACATCAAAGATCTAAATTGTTTCAGGGGTGAAATCAAAGCAAAATTTAAGTTGCCTGATTTAATGGGGATGAGGAATGGGATGCTTCAAACGGTAATAGTTCGAGGCCACACAAGAATCTAGTCCAAGGGTCTTCAAACCTGGCAAGTTTAAGGCTTGTGGACTTCAACTCCTAGAATTCCTGAGCTAAAATGACTGGAGGAGGAGAAATTCTGGGAGTTGAAGTCTTTTGCACTAACAAAACTGATCATGAGGTTTGATCAGTAATCTAGAGTAGCCAGAAGCACAATCCTATCTGCTGTAAAGATAAAATTACAGCTAAAATGCACATAACCTCAGGTTCCAAGAGGAAGGGCAGGATAAAAGTATCATGCGTTCCATATAGTATTCTTTTT